GTGCCCCGGGCGCAGCCGGGCTCGGGCTGCAGCCCCTGCCCGGGAGCGGAGAGGGCGCGGGGCAGTGTCCTTGCGCGTTGCTCCGGGCAAGGGGACGCTCCGCTCCGCGGGGGACGGGCACTGCAGCCCATCAGCCCCGGGCGGGGGTCCCCTCGCCGAGAGCCCGGGGCTGCGCGTCTCTTGCCCGGGACTCGGGGCGCGGGTGTTCCAAAGGGATGGGAAATAAAAGTTTCCCAGGGACTTGCGAGCTCGCAGCGCCTCTGCCTGCTCGCTTGCCGCTCACCGCCTCGCCTCGCCCGCTGTCAGGCGCTGGCTCCTAGCGAGGGGAAGGCAGCGGGATGGGGGTCTCGTTTGCACGCTGGAAACAAGCCCGAGCGCAGCGCGCTTGGTTTCGTGGGGCCATAAGGCAGCGGGTTGCAGCGAGAACACGCAGGGAAGCGGGTTGTTTCCTTTGAACCAGGAGAGGCAGATTTTCGGCTTAGCGGTGTGTGGAGCCACAGTGGACTCACGAGCGGGGAGGGGAGTGTGGAGTGGCTCACATCTGGGGTGTAACCGGGGCAGATGAGCCGTGGTGTTGTTTTAAATCGATAAGACAAGGCGCTTGTCCCTGGATTGCTCCTCTTGAATGCCAAAAAGCTGTGAACCGGGTGGTATTTGAATAGCAGTTTTGTAACTTCCGCGCTTAAAAAAAAAGGGGAGAGACGCTGCAAGTAGCAAACTTTTTTTTTTTTCTTCACGTTCTGATGCTTTAATTCTGCAGCGCTGTTCCGTGATAACTCACAGGTCTGTGCGCCTCTTTCACTCTCTGTCGCAGGGCACTGATTGTGGTGGTGCAGTATTGATCCTCATCGCAGCCGGGACCCAGGGGAAGGGACAGGACAGCATGCGGCTGGAGGATGTCTGAGGCTGGCTGGGGCAGTTTTCCTACTACTCTGCTTTCTCCGAGCGTGGCCAGAGGAATGATTGCTGCGTGGAGTGCCTTCTTTTGCTTTTACCTGGTGGTGACTGTCAGCAGCCTCCCAGAACCCAGGCTGCCCATTTCAGAATTAGAGGACAGGATCACTCGAAAACCGACAGGTAAGGGCAGCTGTATAGGATGCATGGTGCGATCCCATCAGAGGTTGGGTTTGCTCTTGCTGTCTTCCAGGGGGAGGAGGAATGGGGACAAATCTACAAGGAAGCCTTCTTCCTTTGCCAGTTTATTCCACCAGCAATCAGAAATGTACAAGGCCGCTGTCTCTGACTGACTGCACACTTCCCTCTCCTTGTGTAGTTGCAATCCTGGTTTTTTCCCAGGCAAAATTAAAACTGAGCTGCACAGCTTTGCAGGTGGATTATTTTGGCAACACAACGTGTTTCAAAGCTGTCCCCAGAATTCAGAAAAGTTCTTGGTGTTTTTTTTTCCAGCCACTTTCATCTGCATGGGCGCACACATGAGAACTGGTGTTTTTACTACATTGAGAACTGAGGGATAAAAATTAAGTTACCCCCAAAACTGCAGTAAGTGCCATTTAGACAGGCAACCCCTGTCTTAAGTAGTGACTCTTATAATTATTCAGAGAGTTTCCAGTAAAACTGAATTTGACTTTCAGTTGACAGTTTTGTTGGTGATTTTTGTGTAGCTGCCTGAGTGAGCATTGTGACAAAGTTGGGCCACAGATAAAAGTTGAATATATGCTAGTTTTCACAGTATTGGAGGGCTAGACCTTATAAATAATGATAATCTTTATAAAGAGCCATGTGCACTCACATTCTGGTCAGGAAGAAATATAAGCACATATGAAAATTACTATATATTTTAAATATTAGAGTCAAAGGTCAGGTTTTAGACTTAAGATACTAATACTGTGCAGATCCACTCTTCAAACATGCCCTCATGATCTGTTAGTCTTGTGAAATGTATCCCATGCACTTTGTAGTGTTTGTCTTGTAGTCCAGATTTTTGCTTACAAAGACTAGTAAAGTAGTGAGCAAAAATTGTTACTAAAATTCTCATTTACGTAGATTGTTTCGCTTGCTGGCTAGAGTCATGACATGCACCGCTGTCACAGATTTGGTTCACGTCAAAATTACTAATCAGAGTTTGGAAAAGCAAAGATACTTACTTACGTGAACACTGTACCTTTCATTCAATTCAAAATCTATTTATGTAAGTACACTTTGTAGGGATAAAAAGAGTCATGATCATTATTTTTTTAAGTTGCTAAATAATGTGTGCTGAATTGTGAACCTATTCAGAAGGAAAAAGTTACTGGATTCCCGTAAACACTTTCTGTCCTCATGTGAAACATTAATGTGATCAGTGAGCAAGGTTAACATACAGGACAAGAGCCGTTTTAAAAATACACAGAATGCTTAAAATTGGTGTCACTCTGATATGTGTCAGCTGTTACCTGAGTCTGTTTATTTTTTCAAAGGCCTCTAATGGAAGGTAACCTCCCTCCCTCTCTCTCTCTCTCTCTCTCTTCAAAAAGGTTCCATGCACCAAATAGAAAGTTTCCATTGTTCAGGAAAGGGTTGAAGCATGTTCGCCAAAAAAGTGACAGGGGAATAAATGTGCTTTGTGGAGGCTAGGAGGTGGGGGCTTTACTTCCATATCCCTTTTGGTTAAAGCTATAAATCATATGGGGGGATGGTTTTGTTTTCAAGAAAGTACTAATAAAACACCAGATTCTTAGGGTAACTCAATTGACTCATTTTTCACAGCCAAAATAATTGATTTATGGGGAAACATTTCAGCTATTTTGTCAAAGCAGCTGAGAATAGTGTTTAAGAGGAAATAAGATCAGCCTGTGCTAGTGATCTTTTCAGGAGTTCACTGAATTTAGTAGTGCAGATTTTTTTTTCTGTTTTAATCTTTATTTTATTTTATTTTGGCCTGTTTGAGTCAAATTCTGCTCTCAATAATATCAGGGTAAATCTGGAGTCATCCCACTGCCTCCATTGGAATACCTCTGGATTTGCACCCAGCAACTGAAATCACAGTTTAGAACCCATGGCACTGTTTTACCATGGTAAAGTTATTCTTGTCTTTAAAGCACCCAGGCTTGCACTTAAAGTTGATAGGATGACATTTGAAATATAGTAAGTGATGCCCAATTGTGTCTTCCAGTACGTTGCTAGAATGTCAGTGGTTAAAGAAAATGGTCCTGTGGTGATGAATCTTAAGAGCTAAGTTACACTGTGGAATTTCCAAAGTTGTTGGTGTAAATTCTGCGTACAAGCTTATTTTTACCAGATTAGCCTTTCAAAGTAATGCAAAACTCCTATATAACTTCAGATGGGGCCAGATTATCCCCGGCGGAATGCTTCTGTTACACTAACGTAGAGCATATCATTTAAAAATATTTCTCTGTTGCTTTCACTTGTTGAAAATAAGGGTGGTTTTGATGCATCATGTTGATATGTGAAATGTAACTGCAACAGAGCTGTTTTTTGGGGGAAATAGGTACATGTGCAAAGTCACTAAAATAAGACAGAACTTTCTGACAGATCTGAAATATGGCTGGTAAGAATTTTTTGTTGGCTTGTAATGATGTTTAATTGGTTGGGCACTCAAAGTTAAGGGACCTATTTTAAATGTACAGGGCACCCTTATTTCAGAAAAATGATTTCTGTGAGAGAAACTGTATAAAGAATATAAACACTTAGAGCCAAGTAAAAACTCGTTTTACTTTTCAATTTTTAAATTGAATGACAAAAAGCAAATTCTTTCTACTACTTAAATGGGCCATGGGGTATTGGTTCATTACTGAAGGTTGTTGTTCACTAGCTTTTGCATTTACAGTCTAAAGCCTTATTTTCCATAAAGGGGCTTGGAAGGATTTTTCCCTAGTGATCTAATTCTCCACACGGGGCTGTGAAGGCTGTAACAGCTACTGCTTTGTGCCTATGCTCAGCTACATAAAACACACATTGAAGGGAGGCATTCTAGAGGTATGTGTATGTTTGCTAATATGAATACTCGCTATTAGTGGAGGTGGAGGGGGTGCAAGTTTTAACATCTCCACAGGGAGGTGTTCTGCTTTTGGCAGGAAGAAGGCAGATGGCGGGGCTATTGCTGAATAGAATCCAAACTGAAAACACTAGGGGCCTCATCTAGGCTGAGTTCTCTTCTTTCCTTTTCTCCGGCTGCTGCAGGAAGGACAATGTCAATTTTTTTTTTATGAATGAAAGTAGAGAGGCAAGGCAGAATTGAATGTGTGTGTCATTCACTAGCTAGGACAGAGATGATTAGGGAGGTCAGTGAACTCTTTTGCTGCCTTGAGCATGCGGTCACTCTATTCAGCAGCCACAGAATAGACAGCCATATAAAAAAAGCCCTTCCAATTTGCATTAGTATATGGATAAAGATATTACTTCGTACGATTTGTGAATGTCAACTAATGCTAGCTTTGGTGCTGCCTCAGTTGTGCCTATGTTTCATATCAATCTGCCTCATGTTTGTAGGATACAGCTCTCTCTCACACACATCATATTAGAAAGGGAATTTTCATCACATATTAGGATCTCTATTCATCTGAATAGCACCTTGGGCTAGACGTCTGATATTAAGAAAGATGTTTAAATGTGTGCGTGCGTGTTGTGTATAAAATCAAAGAAAGGAAAAAAAGCCATTTGATTGTCAGTGGAATTTAAGTTTAAAGAAGTAAAATGTGCTTGATCATGACCTTCCCAGTAATTAGTGAGTTATTGTACTGCTCCAACTAGTCACTTTTCCAAGCCAGAAAAAAACACATGCCATTTTGGTTTAAACCTGCCACTGATATTTGAATAGTAATAAACGTCTGCAGTTTGAAATACTGGTTAGCATACTTGTTTAGTTATTATCTTAAAACAGCTAATACAAGTTTGTTCTCCTTTATCCTTCCCATCTTCAGACAAGTATACGTAGTCTGGGACGTAATTTTCTATGTTGATGGGCATTTTGTTTTATTGTGACTGTGTTCAAGAGTTAACCATGAAATTAAACTGCATTATCCTGAGTTTTAATGGACACACATCATTCCTATAGTGGAGGTCAGTTTTTGCGCATTCTCTTAAAGGTTTTTTTTTTAAAAAGCTACAAAACAGTGTCAGTATGAATTAGCATTGTTCTCTACTTTATAATCCAGACCTAGTATTCTTTAAAATGTGCTGTTTTGAAGAATATACCACCTAATCATGCTTCTTCAGCTAAATAGATTCACTTAGTCCTTTTGCAGTAGTAATAATGAAAAATAATTATTTTTTTAGTTAAGGCTAGCATATTTCACTGAATCATAAATTAACAGGTAACAGATGATGAAAGTTAGTGCTCTTTTGCACCATTTCTTTTAAGAAGCAAAGAGTGAGCAAGCAAATCTGTTGGCTGCAGAGTGTTAGACTAGATGCTGGCCTTGTACATATCAGTATTTCTGTCTCTGTCTAGATTTAGCAAGAGCTTGTGGTTTGCTTTTTGCCTCCCCCCGCGTCCCCGTTTTTTGAAGTCTTCATTAACAAATAGTAAGTGGGGATGCTAACAAGCTGGGACAAGTGTAAATCTAAAAACTGTGAAGAGAAGCTTCAATCTGCAAATAAACTGAGGCAATTGAAATGAGCCTGCTTGGCCATTACAACAATTTCCATGGTTCCATCTCACAAATTTTCACCCCAATTCAGGAGAGCATTCCTGTTCAGGAAGGCTGCTTAAAATTAAGCATATGTTTAACTACCATTGAAGTCAGTGGCACCTAAACGTGTTTAAGTAATTTCCTATCTCTTTTGGGTCCAGTCTTGAATGGAATCCACCCTAGGATGAAATTTCCATTCAAATTGAAGTTTCAGTCTTAGTGCAGATTGTAACACTAAGCTGTTCTTTATCTATCTGATGAATGAGTAGAACTTTGGTATAAAAAAAGGTTTTACAAAATACTCCATTCTTTTTTCCTTCACAAAACTTTAATACATGTATCTGCTACTTCAGATATAGGACTTAAAAATAAATATGTCCCCATTCTCTCCCAGGGTCCAACAATTATGAAGATTTCACTGTTATTAGCCCCTTTAAAATTTTATTGAACTACTCATATGTCTAAAGGTACATATTGCTAACCAGG